TCATTGGCAGTTTCTTAAGTAACCATTCAAAAGAATCAATATGCCATTGTGGCTTATTTTAGGGAAGCCCCCCTGAGACCCAGCAGAACCGTTTGAGAGTGTGTTGACCTGGTTGCTTGTTACCCCTTAATGCTTGAGTGTGGATTCCTTGGTATAAGACCTCTCTTCCACGTGACTTCTAGATGACCAGCACCATCAGGAGATAACATTAATTCAATTTACTTGTGACCCAGGAATCCAATCCAGAATCATGTGCTGAGTGTAGCTGTCATGTCTTTTCAGTCTCCTGTCAGGTCCTCAGCCTGTCCTCACCTTTCACGATCTTAATTTTATACAGTGATGTCGTATCTCTGTATCTATGGGTATTTCTATACAATTACATTAAAATGAATTTACAGCAGCATCTCTGATTGCAGGCCCGCAGCACGAGGTTATTCTGGCCTCTCCCTCTCCTTGTAACTCTCTTCTCCATCAATCCCAGTGTATCCACTAGCTGCAGTCTGAAGAAGATTCCATCAAACTAGGATCTCCTGAGCATCCCCGCCTTACTCACCTGTAGGAGTGGGAGCTGGGCGGAGTGCCTGGGGAGAGTAGAAGTTGCTATCCATCTAGTGGAGATGTTCTCAGCTCCAAATTTAACCTTCAACTTTGGCTGCGTGTTGGAATCATCTGGGAAATATTTTCAGATGCCCAGGCCTAACCTACCCCCGTATCCATTAAACCCCACCTCTAGGGGTGAGACCCAGTCGTCGGTGTTTCTCAAGCTCCCCGAGTGATCGCAATGTTGAGTCAACGTTAAAAGCTAACAAAGCAGGTTTCTGCCTTTATGACGCAGGTTATAATGATTAGACTATTAGTTCCAACTGTAGTGTCCAAAGGCCGTCTGCTGACGAACAGAAGATAGTGTCAAAATGAGAGCTGCTGTGAGGGGCCCACATCTCCATGTTTAAGTTTTGAAGTGTTTTCTGTTTGAGTGTTTAACGGGAAATGTATCCAGAAAACACTGACGGCAAAGGTGAAGTCCTGGCTCAAAACTTGTTCCGTATCTGGTTTGCTCTCAAGCAGCACTTTTTTCAAGCTTTGATATTCACATGAATCGCTTGTGCATCTTGTTAAAAAGTAGATTCCGATTTTGCAGGTTTAGGGTGCGGTCTGAGAGGCTTTATTTCTGTAAAGTGATGCTAAAGTTGCTGGTCTGGGAGCCATACTTCAGTGGCAAGACCTCAGCATCTCTGCCCTAATCATTTAGTCAACAAGTCTTTTTTTTTAACTTTTTTTTTTTTTAATGGAGGCACTGGGGATTGAACTCAGGGCCTTGTGCATGCTAAGCACCTACCCGAGGCAATGAGTCTTAATTTGAAGGGTGCTATGAATTGCTTTTTATATTCCTAATTTAAAAAATTAAATTTGGGGGGTGATTAGATTTATTTACCTTTTAGAGGAGGTAATGAGAATTGAACCCGGGACCTCGTACCACTTGAGCTATACCCTACCCCCTTGAATTTCTTTTTAAATCTGATAAAACCTAGGGACTTTCCCCAGAAAATAAAATACGCATAAGTGCCTGTACACACCTAAGCATACGATTTCAGGGGGCTCGTGTTCATTCAACAGGTAGCCACCTAGGAGCCTGAGTATTTTTCTGGGTGCTAGTGAGAGACTGACGGACAAGACAGAGACAGCCCCCACCTAGTGGAGTTTTCAGTGTGGGGTCGGGACAAACCACCACCAAGTTAAACAAGGCACATCAGATAGGGCATCAGAACAGGGTACCACGTAATGGTCACGTGATGGCCCGGTTATGTTGAAGGAGTGAGGGAGTGGCTCTAACTGGTCTGTCGGTGGAGACATCTTGACTGGAGACCTGAAGACCAGAGTCTGGAAGAACAGCATCCCAGGCAATAAGCCCAGAGGGCCTGAGTCTGAGATGCGCTGCGAATTTTCAAAAGATGGAGCGGCTGGTGTGGTGGGAAGAGAGCCATTGAGGGAGAGTGACAGAAGGTGACTTCAGAGGGGCCAGATCACACGAGGCCTTGTACATCAGGGTGAGGAGGCTGCTTCCCGCCTGTAGACTGGGCCAAGCCCATTTTTGGACCCTGACAGAGCCATGGCTTCCATTTTAAGAACTCCAGACCGAGAAGCTCATTTAGGAACTAAAGAAAAAAAAAAGGTCTTTGGGGATTAAAGGCTCTGAGAATCCGTCTGAAAATCCAGAGGAAGGAGGCAAGCAAGCTCAGGACAGAGCCCTTCTCTGAACCCCCCAGTGTGCAGTGACCCGAGTGTCCCGCCAGGCACGACAGCTTGCTGAGTTATTGTCAAGTCTTTTTCTTTGGGGGAGGGGAGACGATGAGGTGTCCACTTATTTATTTCAATGGCAGTTCTGGGGACTGAACCCAGAACTTTGTGCATGCTAAGCATGCACTCTTCACTGAGCTCTGCCCTCCCTTCCCTGTAAGTTTGAATTCCTACTTGTGAACAAAGTTTTACAAAAAGGCCTCTGGTCTTCACCCCCGTCTCTGCCCCACTGCAGAACACAAAGACATCCCAGGCCGGCCCAGGAAGCGCTCAGAAGGCTGGGAATCTCTTTTCTTAATTCTCCACCTTCAAATGGCCCATAATGGCCTTGTGTTAGCATCAGCTTAGTTGGCTAAGCTGTCATGACAACATGTGGCTTCATTCAGGGTTCCGTTCTGCTCTGGGGGGCCTGCCTGCCACGTGGCCATCTGAGTTGGCGCAGTCCCCATTTCTGAAATTGCCTCTTAAATAGCAATTGTCTTTTAACTCTCCTGTGTTTATGCTGGCTGGAGGCCTGAAGTCCGTGACACAGCGGCCTGCTCAGGATTCAGAAGATTAATCAACACCGTCATTTTCTGAGAGACCCTCTTAGGCTCCTAGATTACAGGAAGGACAAATGTACTGACATTCTGCTTGCAAAAGTGATTTCTAACTCACCCTTCCCTTGGAGTGAAACAGGAAGTAAAGGACTTGAAACTCCAATTCTAAGTTGTCGGGGTGCGTGGGAACAGCCCAGGGCCACAGTCCTGCTGGGTGACCTTTAGGTGGGGCGGTTAAGAAGGGCGTCTCTGGCCTGGGCTGGGCCTCAGCTTCCTCGCCTGTAATGAAGATAATGAATTAAACAAGGTTCCAAATCAGAGCCAGCTGTGGAGAAAAGCCTCTCTGAAAATAACCCCCCCACCGCCCCCACACCACACACACCCAGACAGCACAGCCGTACTGCCTGCGCACACCCCCCAAACCATCGGACTATTAAATTCATACTATAGGTGCATTTTGCTTCACCAGTTCATCCCTTGGAAAACTGTTCTGCCCCTATTTTGCACGTAGAAAAGTCCTCCCTCATTTTTTGAGGTGATCACATCTTGGGGGAGGGTGGAGGGGGTTCTGCTCTAAAACCTTACCATCCGGCAAGTTGGGCAGTGTATCCTGACAGGGCCTCTATGCTAGAAATAATGGGGGCCCCTAATGAGGGAGGAGCAGCCCCAGAGCCCCTACAACAAGCAGCAGCTTACTGTCTCTTTGTCCCAGTAGAAAGTAAGCCCTTGGGGCCAGGGCCTCTTACAATTCACTGCTGTATTTCTAGTTTCTAGAACAGGGCCTGCCACATAGCAGGTGCTCAGTGAGTATTGCTCACTAGCTGGAGCCAGTATGAGCCCTTGAACATTGCTGGCTTGTAGCAGGGCCCCTCTTTCCACTGGAAAGAGGTCAGGAAGCAGGCAAGGTGGGCATGGGGGCCCAGGGAGGAACACCAGCCTCCTGATTTACCCCCTTCTCTGTGAGCCATGAGCATTTTGAGACTGAATTTCAGAAGTCTCAGAAAGAGGAGGCAGAAAAAAAATCCTGTTCCACTTTTTCCCAACCCACCCACCACTTCCTTTCCCCATTAGTAGGGTCTGGATATGACAAGAGCTAGTGTGTGACAGCCCTTGTCTGCCCAGGACAGACGCAACTCCTAAGAATCCTATCTTAAGTGATTTGTAAACGTGAGCATCCTTTACTTCTCTGTTATGTAGACCCAGATTTTCATTAAATGTTTAAATCAAAATTATTTGTATTAAGAATATAGAACTCACATTTTCACCAGACTCCTACAGTTAGTGTATCTTTGCTCACAAGTTGAAAGAATATGAGGGTTGACTAAAAAGAAAATTTTTTTAATGTCCATCAACAGATGACTAGATAAAGAAGCATTCGTGCATTTATACAATGGAATACTACTCAGCCATAAAAAAGACTAAAATAATGCCATTTACGGCAACATGGATGGACCTGGAGATTGTCATTCTAAGTGAAGTAAGCCAGAAAGAGAAAAAAAAATACCATATGATATCATTCATATATGGACTCTAAACAAAGGAAAAAGAAGACACTAATGAACTATCTACAAAACAGAAAAAGACTCACAGACATAGTAAACAAACTTACGGTTACCAGGGTTGGGGGAAGTGGGTGGGAAGGAATAAATTGGAAGCTCAAGATTTGCAAATATTAACTACTACATATGAAATAGATAAACAATAAGTTTCTTCTGTATAGCACAGTGAACTATATTCAATACCTTGTAGTAACCGATAATAAAAAAGAATATGAAAATGAATATATATATATGTATACGTATGACTGAACTATTATGCTGTACCTCAGAAATTGACACAACACTGTAAACTGACAATACTTCAATTAAAAAATATTTTTAAATGACTTAAAATTCTCAGAGTTCTTTCAACAACGTCTTCCTGATGCAATAAATTACAGCTAAAGTGACTTTAGCAATGGTGGACCATTTGAGATACCATTTATGTGTAAAAGAGACATAAAAAAGTCCAAAGATTTTCTTTGAAAAATCTTTGGACCCCCCTGGGGTCCAGTAGCTGTTATGAAAGCAGAGGAGTGGTAGTCACCTCCCCATTGGCCGAGGACTCACCCAGATGTCTGGCTTTCACATAAAAGACAGGAAGCAGCGAAGTCAGCCTCCACTTCCACTCAAAGGGCGAAAGCAAAAACAGCAAAAAAGGAAGATGGCAAGCCGGTGGTTACTCTTCCTCCCAGGGCTTGTGGTGGTGTGTGCCGTGCACGGGATATTTATGGACAGACTTGCCTCCAAGAAGCTGTGTGCAGATGACGAGTGTGTCTGTAAGGACTTTTTTATGCCTTTCATTACCTTTCTATTATATAATTGGAAAAAATGTCCACTAAGAGCATAGAATCTGATTGTACTTTGAGCTGAATCTTCTCTAATGTGTATGAGATTAGCATCATTTCTCCTGGTCTGTGCCTTTTGTATATCACAATGAAGAATTTACTTGGCTAAGATTCTGATGGATGCAGCTTTAATACCTTATCTTACTCTCCTGGAATTGAACCTGAGCTGGGAGGCGTTAGTCCCTCTGATTACCTAGTGCTCTAATATGCTTTGCCTTTTTACTGTTATAAAATCCAGGAGCCAATACTTTTCTCTACTAGATATTTATTTCAATGTATTTTTCTTCCAGATACTATTTCTCTGGCCAGAGCTCAAGAAGATTACAATGCCCCAGACTGTAGATTCATTAATGTCAAAAAAGGGCAGCGGATCTATGTTTACTCAAAGCTGGTAAAAGAAAATGAAGCTGGAGAATTTTGGGCTGGCAGTGTAAGACAAGATAATTAAAAATATATACACAGCTTGACATATGTTGCTCTTAATTTTTCCCCTATTTCCTATCTTCTGTGCCGTTTAATGTTTAAAACTAGCCATTAAGAACAATGCAGCGGTTGTGGAGGCAAGTGCGAAAATTTGTGTGTATTTGCTTTTTATTGCATTTTGAGGAAACAAAGAAAATTTCATAACAAAACCAAATGTAGGTTGATTTGATGTCTTGGCAAGAAAAACTAGTCAAACACATGGGGGCTTGAATATCCCAAAGAGTCTGAACCTCATTCAAAAATATTCGAGTGGATTTGCCAAGTAAAAGGCATGTGTGCTGGCAGTCAGTCTACATTTCAATATTTTTAAGGAAACTTTAGCACCCTCTTTGATTCCAAAGAATCTGCTTTCTTATGTTAAAATATGCAGGGGTGGGCCCTGGGGAAGGATGAAGAAGAATTGATTTTCTGTCCTCAACTGCAGCCCCACAGATAGATTCTTGTCAAGAAGAATGAAATATTAAATTCACTCAGGTATCTGTTCATTTGAATTTTTAAAAACTGAAACAGTCCTTTGAAAGTCTTTTGAAATAACAGTGTCTATTCACTTAGGGAAAAAAAAAAGGTACAGACTTTTTTTTTATGGGTTCCAAAAAAGATTTCAGGCAGCTCACAGGACTGCATACAGTAAAGGAATGGTTGAGTAGTTAGACTAGTCAGAGAGGCCACAGAAGACATGATGCACAATTTCTGTGGGCTGACTTAATTGCCGTTAAGTGAACTTCAAATTTGGGTCTGAGCTCCCCCAGAATCCAGCCTGAAAGCAAGGCATTGGTGGTTATCCAATTCTCATGGACAGCAGAGAGGATGCCTGAGTGTTTCTGGAAGACTCACATCAGCTTTCTGTTACACTTCTGGGCACTCAGGTGTATGGCGATCAGCAGGAGGACGAGATGGGAACCGTGGGTTATTTCCCCCGCAACTTGGTCCAGGAGCAACATGTGTACCAGGAAGCCACCAAGGAAGTCCCCACCACGGTAAGCATCTCTGGGGACCAGAGGAGGACTCAGATCTTGGGGTGATGTTGATGTAGGAGGGTGTTAGAAATGCGTCATGCAATTTACAAGATGCATCAAGCAAAGCCCCCCCACTTCCAGTGGTGGCATCTCTGAGATTTGGGTTGTCGACTGAAATAAATCACACAATGTGAAAGTTAAGTTTTATTTGGGGCAAAATGAGGACTATTGCCCAGGAGACAGCATCCCAGAAAGTTCTGAGAAACTGTTGCAAAGAGGCAGGGGGAAAACTCAGTAGTACCTATGATTTCACTGAAGAGGGTACATGCTTTCAAGCACACACTTAGAGATAGGCTTGCTGCTGGTCACCGTTAATGGCGTTGGTGCTTTTCTAGATATGAGGAAGTGGGAGACTTGGGTCCATAAGTTTTTCTCCTGAAAATATCTGACGATCTGAAGATCTGCTCAGCCAGTTTTCCCAGAACACAGAGCGCCCCATTCCTGATCTCTGCCCTGAGCTGCTTTCAGGGAGTGTTGGAGGTCAGCAGCTTCGGTGTCTCGTGATTTAATCCAAGCAGAGTTAAATGGCAAGTGCCAACATGATACAATCCTTGTAGAGGCAGATGGCAAGCGCCAAGTTTTAGCTAGCAGGGGGAAGATTTATACCTACTGTCAACGTTGAAAGATTAGTGAACTTTCTCTACCAACCCCCTTTCGTTTTCAACACAAGTTATCGTGGAAAGGACTCCATGCCACAAAGAAAGAAACCAAAGTAGTATTAACTGACTTACTGATGGGTACACTTACTGACTTGGGCTGGGAAAAATATTAGCACCTGCATTAAATAAAATCAAAACATTCAGGAAAATTTTCGCATGCCTAATTTTTGTGGTAGATAGACTCTACTTATGTATAAAAAATAAATTATACTCATCCTAATGCTGTGGGGTCTTCTCAACCCAGAGAGAAATGGAAGATCCCCTTTGAGCTACTTGGCAAGGTGGTTGTTTTGAAGCAGTTCTCTGGGAGCTAATTACTGTGTGAAACAACTTACAAACATTGTCCAACCTACAGAAGTGTGACCCTCTTGTCATGGCATCTTAACATTGACCTTGAATGTATCAAATAACCATCAATTAAAAGTGTATTTGTGAACCTTCATTTTAAGTAGTTTTTGACTTAAAGTGATACTTAAGTCATACTCTTTTGGGTTCAACCTTTGCTTATTTTAAATCTCAATTTCCCTTTGATTATGATTGACGTATTATTTTAAATAAGAATCTACATCTGTTTTCTGGCCCTGCATGCTCGGCTCAATCTTTTTTTGCTTTTTTCTTTTCCAGGATGTTGATTTCTTCTGCGAGTAAGAAGTCAGACAAATGGACAGATAGAAAGGAAACACCAAAAATAAAGAAAAAAGCAAAAACAATGAAAAAAATACTGTCCCTAATTTCTGAGTTTCATTTCAA